GGTAGCCCCTGGTTGCAGCAGGCTAGGAGCAGTCCAGGGGCTTCCCTTGCCCCCAGTCAGTTTGGGACAGTGATGGCTGCAGGCAGGCCCCCTCTTTTTCACCTGTTCTCTGCCTGGTCTCCTGGGGTGTCCCATGCCAGTCCAGGGCTCAGCAAGGGACCTAGGTATCTGGGACCTTGGGGACTAGGAGATGCCACCATGTGACTTACACTGTGGAAGGTAGGTGCCTCCACACCACTGCACCCCCTGGATCCTCTGAGTATGATGGTGTCACGTTTTTGCCCTACTGTTTGGTCCACACTACACTATGACTAACTGCTAGGGAAGATCCACTTTGGTCTCGTTTAAGTCTTAGAGGCTTCTGGATTGTGAGCTGAAGGTTAGAGATACTAATTCCAACACCATATGCATGCCTTATTCAGTCAAGGTCAAACATAAAGTCCACTGATGTTTCCCATTAACTCTGAACATTGGATCAAGCCCTAATTGCTTCTGTCTGTAGCACATAGGTTTGTTATATATTAAATATTGCTATCAGGAATTACAATGCATAAGTTACATATGACTAACAAACAGCTACAGAACACCCTGTTTGTTTGGGTATTTTTACCTTTTGCAAACCTAACAGTTACTCTTAATTTGCAGCTTTCAGAAAAGAATGAACATTCCTCCTCAGGCTCTGCACTATTGTTAGGATCCTTCATATTGTCTTCATAATAATTTTGAATAATTGCCTCTCAAAAATGAGTTATTTGCAGTGTTTTAATGATTTCATATTTTGTGCCTTGACCTTCCAACTCTTGTTTCTGTGCCTTTTAGCCACTGCAAGACACGTATGTGACCCCTTATGTTCAGATGTTGGGTGTTGGGGGCCAGGACCCTCCCATTGCTTTTCCTGTCGTTTCTTCAAGCGTCAGAGGGAATGTGTGAACCAGTGCAATATATTGCAAGGGTAAGATGTTCAGTATTTTCTTGATATTTTTATATGACTAGATTGATAGTATAAATAGGAAAATAAAAACGGATTCTTTTTGTATCTGGTTTTGCTACTTTTGCAAAGAATACTGGTTTGAACTTGGTATATAGATACAGAAAAGGGAGAGAAAATACACTTCTCTAATTAGCCAAACATAGGAGTAGATGAACCACAAGAGAAGGGAAATATGAACTGAACAATTCCCCTAAATCCTGCTTGAGGAATGCTTGATCTCCAGCAATCTAGTCCCAGTGAAGATCAAGGCGCATCAATCCCTGAGCACTCTTTACAAATTCAGCTCTTAAGATTGTCTATAGCTTGAAGCACTCTGGCCGAGATCATGGCTGCAGCATAATTGATGGGAATGTTCACACTGATGTCAGTGGAGCTATGTTTTACCCATTTTGTAGCCCTATTTACTTCACAGCGGCTCTTCAGCTTGCTTAAAATTACACACAAGTTATTTTTTGAAACATGGCATAAACTATTTAAGTCAGCCCTCAGATGCATATGAAGGTCTCCCATTGAAATAAACGGGAACTTGTCATGTATATCAATGATTTGCTCCCTACCAGTTCATACCCACTTTTATAACAAAGCTGCTATTAAGGCAAGAATTGTTGTAAGTACTGTAGTACACGCAGAGCAGTTATTTCAGGCAAAATAATTCCATCAGCTTCACTTATGATAAGCAAAATGTATAAGTACCTATGTCTTGATGAGTAGTCATTTCAACAAGAAAATATATGATAAAAAATCAGCTAGCATGATAGCGATGATCTGATTACAACCCTGAAAGGTTTTCAGTATTTTGAATCAGATGCACAATATCTTTTTATCCACAGAACTCTCAGAGGAATTTATTTCTTTTCTTTTTCTTTTTTTGCTAATTCCTCAAAGGTTATTTTACTTAGTCATTAATATTATGCAATTAACTTTGTCTGATGGTGTTCATAATGTTTATATTTGTTTAGTGACCTGTAGTTCAACAGCTGTTGTGTTTTTTTAAGTGAATACCTCTAGCAGATATCATGACCCGAAGGACAGATCTGGGCATTTTTGTGTCAAATGATGACTAGATGTTGTTTAATTAATAACACCGTTACCTGAAGTGGAACAGCTCTATTGCTATCAAAACCATCTGCTCCGTGCTTTCATATTTTAATGATTCATGGTGTTGTAGGAAGGGCATGAATCTAATTATCAGCCAATTTCTATTTAAGTTCCTTAATTATTAAGAGTCTGAGACTTATGAACTGCTTTCCTGACTTGTTTGCAGTGCTCTAATTTAAAATGTTTCCAGGAGTCTTTAAGATTCTTCATCATTAACTCAAAATGTTAAGATGACTACTTTGTAGCATGTGTTCTTAATCTCCTTGTATAGCAATGTGAGTTGAATTTTACTCCTCCTCAACTTTTTTCCTGTTGTGCTGAGTACACTACACTGCTGTGCTCTTACTAGTCAAGAAGGGTTTTTTTTAATATCTTCTTATTTCAGGCACCACATATGCAAACCAGGAAAAACTTATAGGGGTTCAAAGAGCTCTGAAACATAAATCTAAAAGTGACATCCTGTCAATTATTCATTTCTGTTCCTTGCTTACATTTCAGAGAGCCAAGAGAATTTGAAAAAGACTCTGAATGTCTCCCGTGTCATGCAGAATGCCTGGTGCAAAACTCAACAGCATACAATGCAACTTGCACAGGACCTGTAAGTGCGACATACAAATAGTGTGATTAGGTGAACATGTTAGAAACAGCTGTTAAACAGCCAGGTTAGCATAAAGCATGCGGAAACTCCCTTTTAGGGAGGTTGGGTTCTGAAGTACTGTGTAAGTAATTAAAAATTATTAATACTAGTAGATGAATGCACTAGTTTCTCATCTCTGAAGTCTCAGGATCAAATTGTGATCAATAACAGGTGTTTAAGTGAACACATTATTTAAAACCAGGATCTCCAAGCTACCAAATTCAATAATATATATCCTTTGTAACGTAAGGATGGGCTGTAAATTGATACATATTTTTAAAAAGGCTAATTAAAATGAGATGATTAATTTTTCAAAGTTTTATTATTACTCGTGTAGTTTTCTTGCCTTCTGCCTTATTAAAAAGTTTGTTTTTTGTTTAAAACCATGAATAATTTTATGATATCCCAATAAGCATTCTGAATGCATATGCAGGGTTTTTTTGGTAAAAACTTAAAAATGCCTTGATTTTCCTTAACAAGCAGCAGCAGAGTCCCTCTGTCTTATCCTTCTCAGATTCTTAAAATCCTCTTATTTCTCAAAATACCAAGTCTTGCCTGTACATAAACATAAACTCCTCTCTCTCTTTTTACATGTAGTGCCAAATTCACCCCTGAGGTAAGAGGGTGCATCTTCAAATATAGGCCTGAATTCGGGCCCACATTTTTAGTTTGCAGGGCATTTGAATTCACGTGGCCATTAATCTGATATTCAGCTTTCTGGAAAAGAATAGGAGCTTCTGTTTCCCTCCCAGATCCTCATGGTTCGCCCTTTACCCTCTGTTTTACAATCTAACTGCTGACAACCTACTACAATGTAGCCAGTATCCTGACAAAGGATGTCTGGCCTTTCCTAATCAGCTGGAAAGGCACTGGTCAGTAATGCGAAGTATTTTGTCCCTCCCCTTTATGGTTTCGAACTGTGGGTCAGTTGCCCTGTAACTTTGACTGCAAACTCCTTCGGGCTGGTGGGCCAGCTTTTTGTTCTATATTTATATAGCACCTATCAAAATAGAGGCCTGGTCCATTAGCTGGACTCCTAGGCATTAAAAGTAATAATTCAAGTAAACACACAGTAACAGCGATGAGGATCTGGTATAGCAACCTCATAATGCACTTTATCGTGTCCCTGCTTGGAAATGCACTAGACCAGCAAGATAATCTGGATATTTCAATTTTAAAACTGGAAAAAAACCTCTTTGTGATTGATTGCCTACCGACATCATAAAACTAAGAAGTCATACTCTGCTGACATGCAATCTGTCTGCCTTCCTACTGTCATGAAACTAACACTTCCAGCTTTTTCTTCAAAAGATGCAATTTCATCACCCAGGACTGCTTGTTCTCCTGTAGAGCACCAAGAATATCTTTCTGCTGCTGTTACAATCTCAGTGAAAATGTCACTGTTGTAGAAAAAGGCCGGGGAAAAGCACATGGAAATAGAAGTATGGTGGGCCTTTCTATTTCCACCTAAATTTCCTTCCTTCTGCAGTACACAAGAAATCAATGTTTCAGAAGATAATGCAAAAAACCAAGGAAAATTACGGGCCCAATCCCTAGTTCATATCAATCGGTGCGTCTCCACAGGTTTCATTAAAACTGTGGAGAATTTCCCCAGCTGGGGACCTGGCCTCTGGGTGTTACAGTTGTTTGCTATCAGGATATCATAAATTACTCATGGTTTTAAACAAAAAAATGTAAGCTTTTTAGTAAGGCAGAAGGTAAGAAAATTATAAATGAGTAAGAATCATTCAGCAGAGATGAGATGGCAGTTGCTTCATTTAACATCAGGATCTTCAGGATGTGTTGTATGAAAGTAATAGAAATTTGTGAGCATTTCTTTAGGAGATAATGCAACTGAGGAATATTTACATGTCAAATGGTCAAACAACTGTATCGAAAGCCTCTGTTCACATAAGTCAGTATGTGGCTAGGGCAAATTTATTACAATTTCTTGGTCTTTATTCAGGGACCAGACAACTGTATGAAGTGTGCCCATTATATTGATGGTCCTCACTGTGTTAAATCCTGCCCAGCTGGAGTCCTGGGTGAGAATGATACCTTAGTCTGGAAATATGCAGATAAAAATTCAGTTTGTCAGCTCTGCCATCCAAATTGCACTCGGGGGTGAGTAAAATACAAATTACTTTACTTCTACATGTAAGCAAATATCTTGTCCTTTTCTGTTTGTGCAGGTTACCCCCCCCCCTTTTTTTTTTTTTAAAGGCATCCAACTATAGAGGTCATGAATATATATGTGGTGCTCTGTGACGTGTAGTTGAGGTTGTAACAAGAAAACTTTCCTGGCACTTCTAGTCTATGCAGAGAAGGCAAAAAAAAATTGGGGAGGAAATAGTGTTAGCACATTTAAAGCTGGTTGATTTGTTTTCTTAAATAAGATTACTGGAGTTTTATGAAACTTCACTATGCTTGATCTATTTTTTACCACCAGTTGAGTGCTTTGTCTGCTGTGTTTGGCTTCCACTGCAGTGACATCTGGTGGATTCTTGTGATCATTTTATAAGCATATGTTTCACTTAACAGAGCTACATGTGTACAATTCCTTTAAGATGATTGCGGTAGTGGTGTCCTGCATTGTTTTCAGAACATGAAGAATACTCTTCTCTTCTCCCCAAGGCCTTTTCTTTGTAACAGTGAAACTCTTACCCCCAAACACGTGCATAATTTATGGAAGAGGAAGTCTGTAAATTTTGTTGCTGACGCTCAGGTGGCCACTTGGCTCAAACTTGATGTCCTTCTTTATTCAGCTACTTCACTGCCAAGTCATTAAAAATAAAAAGCCTGCTCAGTCAAGGCATGAGCACATACTACCATTCATGCAGGGAAGGAAAGGAAGGGCTTAAAACTGTAAATAAGCTGCATTCTTACTGCTTCTTAGATGACAAGGAGCATTTGGTGCTTTTTTCCTCTTCACAGAGAGGAATTCAGTGCAATGTTTTTCAGATCAGAATATGGATTAGCCATGTTTTTCACAATGATTTCTCCATATTTGATCCCGATTATTAGACCAGGCTTATCAGCATAATTATGATTTTGCCACCAAATGATCTTGGCTGACCAGTGGTACCCCTGGTAACCATGTTCATTAGTCTCCGTTGACGCAAACAAGGCTGCAGTAAATCAATGTCCTTGTTACAAGATTGGTCATGTGAAATCATGGCTGATCACTTCAGTAGAGTAATGGTTAACCATATCCAAATGAAACTTTTAACTGTGACTAATACTTATATTCTTGTTGATGCGAGTGAGACAGGCTGCATATGCAGTTGTTGTTTGTAATGCACAAAGCTGCCAGTTGAGGCTGGGGCATAACTGCTGCCTAAATACATAGCAAGCGACAGCCCACACCCCAGAAGACACACTCCCAAGACAGAGAAAGCAGCTTTATTATCTCAGTTTATAGGTGAGAAATGAATGTAAAAAGATCCTGATGCTCATCCAAAAGATCTGTGGCAGGAGCAGAAATTGAACTTGTCACTTTGGATTCCCAGTGCAGGGACATAACCACAAGACCTGCCCTGGTGGCAATCAGCATGTTACTCGTTTTTATGTCATATCCCTTTTTCGGCTATAAGAACATGGTTTCTTATAACAGTAATGGCACTAAAAATATGTCTCACTATATCTAGGAATCCAACTGACAACCTCAACATCATAAGGAGCAGTTTATAATTTTCTTTCTAGCCCAAGTTTTGTGTTTTGTGCCAGGCAACTCCTTGCACTGACTTATGTAGGGCCATTTATACAAGTAAGGATTTTCAGGATCAGGCTCTTGGTTCCTTATTTTGAAGAAGCTGCAAATGAACAGGACTTTCCCAACCACCAGACTTCAGCCTAATCTCTCTGTTTTACTTAGGAAGTATTTACTTACAGTTTCTCACTTTCTTTATATTTGCTGCAAAGGATTTCACCTCTTATAACTGTCTTTGGTCATACTTTCAGCTACAGTTTGGTCAGGTTTTACAAGGAAAACAGAAAAGTGTGACAGTCCTCTCTCCAGCCCAAATTACTTCTTTTTCTCCCACTTCTCTTCTTTCTCTCTAACTGCTTGGGGATTTTTGTGCAGTAATTGTTGTCTCTGTCTCCAAGTACAGCTGAGAAAATACACCATATTTAAAAAGATCGTTAACCTCACCAAAGCTCTGGAATTACCCAGGTTATATACTTCCAGCAACTAACATGATTCATCTCTTTAATGTTTAGTGGCTTGGTTTTCTTTCATTTTCACAGGGGTGGTAGAATAGCAATATCTACAAAGGGAAAGACAGAACTATTACTGATGTGGTGGGCCTCCTTACAAATGATATAATTATTGATTGATAAATGTTGTGATTATTTATGTTAAATGTCCAGGAAAAAAAAGGTGGCCATTATGATTTGGCACACATTCAGCTTTGTTATTTAGAAGGTTAATGAAAAAGAAAGGGCAGAGAAAAAGTCTCATAAGGCTTTTAAAAAGCTCACTGGCTTTCCGTTTCTTTTATGGCTCTGAAGTAACTTGGACTGTGAGTCTGAGCTTCCTCTGAAAGGCCCTAAATCAAAGCAACCTGGTTATAGTAGATCGAGTTAGAAACAATGGCTTGAGGAGAAAGTTGTTAAAAATGTGATGAAATTGGGAAATAAATATCTGTGTCTGTTCTGAAACAATTCATATTTATGTAGACAGATGAAAAAAGCCAAGTTTGATACAGCACCAGGACACAATGATTACAGGGACTGTACCCTGCAGTAATTTTACCATAAGTGGATAGCAGAGTTGTATTTCAAAGATTACAACTGCCCTTAGGTTTAGTCTAATATATATGTAAGATCTCCAGACAGTTTATAATGCAAGGTCACATTTCTCATTTTAGTTTCTGTAAGGAGTAGAGGAAAAATAATTCAAGAATGGAAAAAGTGATAGCTTAGATTCCATAAAACCTAGGTTACTTATGTTGGGTGTCATCATAAAATTCCACATTAAGAAGGATGGTTATATTTAGCCTTGGGTGGATATTTGTTATGTGCTTCATTTCTCCTTTGACTTGTGAAATGAATCATAAAATCACATGAAAGTTGAAAAGCGCAAACTGATTTATCATTTTCTAACATCTTTTACCTTTATCCTACTTGGCTACATATTGATGGATTTTCTTTTGGGGAAAAAAATAGAAAAGGACACAAATTAAAATCTGTGACCCCCTTTTCAGCCTCCAGTTTCTGATTTAAGAAATGACTAGCTGGTGATGGACTGTGGATGCTCTGTCAGCATCCCTTTTATTCGGGGTAATACTTCTGCATTATGTTATTACTTTGAAGCTGGAAGCCGTTTGTAATATTGCTCAGATTGAAGCAAGTATGTTAAACTGGCATTTTTAGAAGAAGAATTGTATTGAAAGCCTTGAAATAGGATCATTTTTACTGTATGCTGTCCTGGGATTTGTAAAGGTCGCACAGGATAAAGGAGAATTAGATTACATAGGTCTCTAAGGGAGAGGATCCTTTAAGGACCATGAGATTTACCACTTTCAGCTCTATCCACTCCAGGATCTATAAAGACTGCAATCCAGGAAGTGAGAGTCAGTTTAGAATAGGAAGACAAAGGTGGAAGCTCCTTGTACACGTGGGCTAAGCTGGACCCGTGGTGAAGACTTCTGAACAGGACCATGGTGAGGCTGAGACAACAGTTATTGCAAGTGACACCAGAGGACCCTAAAGAAATCATATTATTAATATCTATGGGCAATGTATGAGCTGAGGAAGAAAGTAGCCTGGATATATAGTATAAGAATTAAGTCAGGCATCTTGGGACTGAGCAGGGGCCTAGGCCTAGGACACAGTATGGCAAGGGAGAATTCTAAGTAGAGTGGCCATAATAATTTAAAAAATCTGGAATGGGGGGCACAATGTAACGCATACAAAAGCAATGGAACATGTATACAAAAAAGGAGCAGAAACCACCCCCCCTCCCCCATCTAGATTATTTTAGGGTGTAAAATCTCCCACTTCACTGCCATTTTCAAATGTGTTGGCCCCTTCTTGCTAAAGAAAATTTAGGAACTGTATTCCTGGTATAGGCTGACTCCTTATCCACTGCTTGACTTACTCTGTAGCTGCTTTGAGATAATGTATTTTCTTTAAATAAGAAGGGAACAGATGCCCACAGACTGGACTCTTCTCCTTGCTCTGCTCCATTTTTCAGAGGTGATGTAATGCTCTTCTGTAATGCTGTCCTCATCTTGGTAGATACCACAGCGACCACAATTCCCAAGCAATACATGCATCTTACAGCTCAGCAGTACTTGGGAACACACTATGCATCTCATCTGCCAACACTTCCCGTTAGAATTTCACACACATTTGTTCACTATATTTTCATCTGTGAATTGAAGCCATGGTGTTCAGTGTACATGGCTGCCAAAATTAATTTAAGGAATCCAAAAGATGGTGTGCATTTAAACCAATATAGAGAGTGAATAACTGATGGTAGAATTCATGGAATTTTAGGTAATGCCATACCCAACTCTGTAAACTGTGCTAGATATCTGCTAAATGTCAGTAAAAAAGCGGTTAGATTCTTTAGCTTCTTACTAGATTAGTCCAACCGTCACTACAATAGTACAGGCAAACGATATGCCGGGGTGGGCAATTATTTCGGGTGGAGGGTCACTTACTGAGTTTTGGCAAGCCATCGAGGGCCGCATGATGGGCAGACAGGGCCTGAGAAATATAAATTTTCTAAATTTCTTAGGGGCCCTGCGGGTCAGATAGAATGGCCTGGCAGGCTGCATCTGGCCCGTAGGCCACATTTTGCCCACCCCTGCACCATGCACTGCCTAGGATAGGTATCTGCTAGTGACATTTTTCATTAGACTTAAGGGACTAGAGACTGAAGTCCTTTGTGCATCTATAAAGTGGGTACCATGCAGTGTGGTATCTCTCAGCATAGGTGTTTTCTCATAGCCTCAAGTGTTGTCTTGGAAGGATGATCCCAAGTGAGAGGTTAGTTCCATTTCCAGTCATGTTCAGTCCTGAGCCTCTCTAGTAATAAAGTACAAGAATTTGCCTGGCTCATTCTGCAGAGGCTGCTAAACAGCTGTCTCTCTAGGCTATTTTGTGTCTATTTTACTCTATGAATGGGTAAACTGGTTCTTTGCAGATTTGCTTGGGAAAAAAGTTTGAATATTGATCGTGTAGGTCTTGGCTGCTTATGTAGATGACTATTCCTTGAACTGTATATACAGCATACCTTAGGCCACACACAAGTGATTCTGTAGCAAGACTTTTAAGTCTTTATAAGTTTTATTATTATTTATCAGACTGTTAATATTCAGAGAGTTTACAATTTAAGCTGTTGTCGTATGGAATTACATGAGTGTATGTACTAATATATATGTGTAATGATCATTTTACAGGTGCAAAGGGCCCGGTTTGGAAGGATGTCCAAATGGGTAATTATTTGATTTAATTAGTTATATTTTTGGAAAAAATATAGCACGTGTTTATACTGTTATTCTGGACACTATGAATAATTGGTCCAAAGTTATAGCAAAAGGCTGTCTTTGAATCTGTATAGCATGTTGATATATAAATAATAATAATATATAATAATAATATAAATAATAAATGACTGGAAAACTTGCCTTACGGTGAGAGATTCTGAGTGTGTGTCCACACGTGCAAGCACGTGCACTTGGAGCAGCTCAAACGGAAGCGGTGCAAATTTGAGCCGGGGCTTTTTACCTCGGCGCATGTGCTCAGACATGCATTTTGTTGTGGAGCAAATTGTGCCAATTGGCAAATTTGCATTGTGCCAATTGGCAAATTTGTGCCAATTGGCGGGGTTATTGGGGCAAAATAACCCTGCCAGGCTCCCCTCGGATGTCCCCAGAAGTATAAAAAGCTGCTGTGTCCTGGCCGCAGCAATATAAAAAGCCACCCTGGCAAGTAGCTCAGGGCTACTAGCTTTCAGGAACTTCTGGGGCCCAGCCAATTGGTACCTGGGGACACTACACCTTGTGCCAGCTGGATTGTTGAAGCAGCCCTGAGAGTTCCCTGCACCCTCTACCCCCTGCAGCAGTCTGGCAGTGGGGGCTGCTGCCTGGCTGTGACCTGCTGTGCACCTGCCAGACTCAGATGGGAACTGCAGAGCCAGTAGAGGCATCTGCCCCTCTGGGCCAGCTGCCAGTGGACGGTGGTTGCAGGGTTGGCCTCTGTGCGGCACTACTGCCATTTTTGTCCCCTGCCTGGCCATCTGGGCAACTGTCACCCAGAAGATGTTCCAGGTGTGGTGGCCTGCTTTGAACTGTCAAAGCATGTCCTCCTGGCCCCATTTGGCCAGGTCAGCCACAGCCAGCTGGGTCCAAGGTGCTAGCTCTGAGCAGAAAGGGTCCTGCCACTGGCCTCCCTAGCAGGAATTCTGGTGTTCCATATCGGAAAACTGAAAAATCCCCAAATTACTCTCTAAAATACCCACAAATCCATGTTCCTCCACAAGTAAAAGAAAAGACCACTATAAAGAGAGAGAGAGTGAGACAGAGACAGTGATCAGTTGGACAATGTTTTATTGATATATCTACAGTGTTAAAGCAAGTCTCATCATAATAATAAAGTGAACTCTAAATACAGGTTTCATGAATTCATGAATACATGTTTTGCTGCCCTCCCACAGGGCGATGACCCCACACAAGGGGTTCAGCCCCAACACAAGGGCTGCAGCCCCCCAACAGGGGGTTCGTCCCCCACACAAAGGGTTCGGCCCCCCAAAAGGGGTTCAGACCCCCAACAGGGGGTTTGGTGCACTCACAAGGGGTATGGCCCCCCAAGAGGGGGTTCATCCCCCACATAAGGGGTACAGCCCTTGCAGGGGCTACTCCCCCCCCTGCAAGGCCCACATGCCCC